TTCAACAAGGGTTTGATGGTCACACCAAAAGTCATGGACCTATTTCTCTGACTGGGACTACAATTAAATATTCAAAAGTCCGCATTAACTCTAGTACAACATCTGGAGTTCATAGAAGCCTCCTTCAGCGCAGTAGAAGCCAAAACATTTCTCCCCTTGCACAGATTCAGCACTCTGGTCAATGTTTTCTTAACAATCTGGGTCAGCCCTCAGACTGTCTCCAGCTACTGGGACACATGGTGGTGGGCACCTTTGTAATAAGCCATGCAATACTTCACATTGGGATAGAGGAGGTCTCCTGTATGCATTTCAACCTAGAACTAAAAAGGTCAGGATTATCTCTAAGCTCTGTCAAGGTGCACTTTGTCGCTGTCACGGCCTTCCCTCATCAGATAGAGGGTTATTCTGTTTTCGCTCATCCCACAACCAGAGGGTTTCTCAAAGGTCTAGGTAATCTCTTTTCACAAATCAGATGCCCCACACTGACATGGGACCTCAATTTTGTCTTTCGGTGTCTAACAAGACCTCCCTTTGAACCCATGGCCGCTGCTCCCTTCAACACCTCTCTATGAAAACTGCCTGAAGAATAGGAGAGAGGGGGGGTCTAATGGCATACCCCCTCTTTACAGTTTTTTTTTTTAAAGGCAAGGTGACATTACGACCACACCCCAAGTTCCTACTGAAAATAGTGGACATAAATACTTCCACATAAACCAACTTATCCACCTCCCAGTTTTTTCTGAAACCGCACCAAGAAAAAAGAGATGCAACATTGCACACAGTCAATGTAAGGAGAACACTAGCCTTTTATTTAGATAGGACTATGACCTTCAGGAAATCTTCCAGACTATTTCTCTCCATTGTGGACAGATCTAAGGGATCCTCAGTCTACAAACAAAGAGACTCTAGCTGGATATCAAGCTGCATTACCTACTGCTATCGGTCTCACAATCTTCAACATCCTTCTAAAATATGAAATCACTCCACGAGATCCCTCTCTACTTCCATAGCCTTTGTCAAAAATGTTCCTGTTGTAGAAACACGCAAAGCCGTAACTTGGACATCTGCTCATACATTTGCTGAACATTATGCAGTCACTCATGACTCAGCGTCCAATGCCATATTTGGTTCCAGTGTCTTATCTGCAATTCTTGACTCTACACTGAAGCCCCATACTTCCCACAGGAGTACTGCTGGAGAGACCTAGAATGGAACACCCATAGGGACACTACTTGAAGAAGGGAAGGTTACTTACCCAGTGCAGTAACTGTGGTTCTTCAAGATGTGTGTCGCTATGGGTTCTCCACTACCTACCCTCCTCCCCTCTGCTTTGGAGTTCTTTCCAGTGAGCTCTGAGTTAGAGAAGGAACTGAGGGCAGTTCACCCATTCAGCACTATATAGCTCTGATGCAGGGCACGAGATGGAGAGAGCGCATGGGCGGGCTAAATGGACGCTGCTACCTAAAATCTCTGACCTGAGGTGCTGGGGGTGCAAGCATACCTAGAGTGGAGCACTCATTGGGGGGACACATCTTGAAGAACCACAGTTACTGCACAGGGTAAGTAACCTTCCCTTCTTCAAGTAGTGTCCCTATGGGTGTTCCATTCTAGGTCTCTCCAGAGTAACTTGCTCTTCACACCCCTCTCCCATCAGATAGGATAAGCCTAGAGCTTCTGCACCTGACCACCTAGTGGCAGAGATTATGGATGGCAAGGATCAAGCTATGTCGACTTTAAAGTAGGAATTTTGGCACTGGACTTGATTTGTCTCCTGTCCCTCTTCAATTAAACATAACATGAGGATGGTTAATGATATCCTGGAGAGCCATTCAGAACAGACTGGTGTATACCAATTGGCACAATTCAGTCAGTGCAAAAGCAGCACAGATTATGGATTTCCCAAAATGGTCAGATTTTAATTTGTCACAGATAAACAAAACCCTCTCTGTAAAGAAATTAGATGAAAGATAGTAGCTTTCTTCAAATGAACAGGCAGACATAATGATAAATTGCCTTTTTTCATAGAAAATTAACTTATTAGACCTTGATGTTCATCCAAAATAATTGTTCTTTAAGTATGTGTCAGTGTGGATCCCACTCTAGGTACAAATGTGCTTTGTGCATTCAAGACTGAGTTTTGTTTTGTTTTTTAATAGCAGTGTCTGTTAAGGCTGCACAAGTGCCCTGTGCCACCTCATGTCCTCCATAATTCCTTCATTGTAGATTTTCACAGACAACACGACAGCCATGCACTACATAACAAGCAAGAGGGCACCTGCTCTTTGCCCTTCTGCCTGTAAGTCATCAACTTCTGAAATTGGTGTCGTCAGAACAGGACAACACCAGGATTCAGCAACAAGTTAGCAGGCAAGCAGTCTGTGACTAGCCATGAATGGCCCTTGCACAGATGCATTACAGAAGGGATATTCCATTAGTGGAGATTGCCCACAAAAGATTTTTCTGCCCCAATGGTAATGCAAAATGTCATAACTTTTGTTCTAGAAGAGGCCTGAGTCCAGATTCATTACCAGATACCTTCCTTCTTCAGTGGAATAGAGGCTTGTTTGTATGCCTTTGCATAATTTCCCCTGATTCCCAGGGTGAGTCCCACAATCATTCTGGTGGCTCCTTATTGGCCAAGGCAGCTGTGGCTGACAGATCTACTGCAGATGTCTAGCCTCCAATCCAACTCCCACGCTACCTGGAACTTGTCTCACCGAACCATGGCCAGTTACTCCACCCAGAACCATTGTCACTGCACTCATGGTGTGGCTGTTGGATGGCTCAGTAACACAGATAATGGCTGCTCCCTACAGGTCCAGGAAATCCTGATTCAAAACAAAATGACATCTTCTAGATAACATATTCTTCAAAATGGAAGAAGTTCTTGAAACGGGCAGCCCAAAAACTCCAGATCTCATTACAGAAGATCCTTGACACCCTATGCAAGCTGGTCTTCTGCTCAAATCTAGTAAAGTCAGCCTCTCAGCAATTTTAGCTTGTCACCCATCTTTCTCCTCTCTAGTTGGTCAGGAATTTTTTTATGAATACTTTTCCCTCCCAAAATGTCAATTTGTTGAAACCTAAACTGTGAACTGAGGCAAGTTTTGACACATATCCTGACTCAAATTTCGGGGAAAAAAGTTTTGAAATTGTTGAAATGGGATATTTCAGCATATTTTAAATGAAAAGCTTCAGTTTTTCCAGTCAAAACAACTTTTTTTTTTGTTTTGAAATTTTAGAAATTTGGACTTAAAAAAAAGGGTGTGGGGAGGTTGAAATCGAAATGAACATTTGATTGATCCAAATCAAAATTTTTGGGCTGAAGTGGGATGGGAAAAAATTTGAAATCTCAAAAATTCTCTCAGACTGGGAAACCCGTTTCCTGCCCGTCCCTAATATTCTCACCCTATGCTACTGAAATTTCTTAAAGGGCTACTACATGCCCACTAGTCAGAGAACCAATTCCTGCCTATGACCTCAATATAGTCCTCCTTAGACTCATGGAGTCTCCCTTTTAACCTTTTTCAGAATGCTCCCTACATCACCTCACTAGGAAGGTGAACCTCCTAGTCTCTATCACTCCAGCCAGAAGAGTGAGTGAGCTTCAGGTGTTTATGGCTTACCCTCCCCAAATGACATTCCATAGGGACAAGGTGGTGCTAAGACCTTACCTGAAATTCACCTCCAAAGTGGTTTTAGAATTTCATCTGAACTAATCCATCAACTTGCATTTCTTCTTCCTGAAACCTCATTTGGCACTGTGAAAAAAGAAATTACGCACCCTAGATGTAGCCAGGACTCTACATTGACAGGAGTAAACCATTCAGACTGTCACTCCTTCTGATGGACACTGCTTTATTTAAAAAAAAAAAAAAAATCAATCTCACGTGTATGAATCACATGTGCATTTACAGTGGGATCCACTTGACAATATCTCAAGGGATCACAGTTACTTTAAGGTAAGTAAACATTCTTCTATGACCTGCTCTGTAATAGTTTAAAAACAAAGATATAATGCTGTTATTGTAGATAGAAAACTCCTGTATGCATTTCTTAGGTATTAGGGAAAAGGTAGTATGTTCTGGATGCACTTCTAACAATGTTATAGTAATACAATTTATCATTGACATCCTCAGGACATAAATTGAAAGTTCTCTGAAAATTATTGTATAGCTTTTACCATAATACTGTATAGAAATGAGGTGTATAACTTGAAGGTCAGAAAGATGATGCCAAAGCAGTACCTTGTCTATGCAATAAAACTCTATGACTTGATAAATATAAGTAATAGTGTATTAAATTCTGCTAAGAATTATTCCTTCTGTGGCAAGTAAGCATCCCCTATGAAAGGTATATACATGCATAAAAGTGAAGTCAGAAGAGAGGAAATGAATTAAATACCCCAAGAACAGTGGGAATAATAGTATCATATTTACTTATCCCAAATCATTAATATTTTATTCACTGTTCCTCAGAATGATGATTTATTTAGGTTATAAAGTATGCCTTTCTCTATGTACTCCTGCATGTAAGTGCATCCATACAATATGTACTGTGTGTGGAGATCAAAAAGATGGCACAAATTACAGAAAATTACATTTTCCAGAGGGTCTTTGGTCTTTTTCATGAGCTATTTTAATATAGCAGTATCCAAGAAAGTTCAAAGTCTCTTTTTAGAAAATGCAAGCTCTGTTACTAATAAAGTACACTATTTAATTGCTTCATATTTATCTGGAAACTTCTTGACATTAGTCGAGTTAATGGGCCTTGTTGTACAGTACTTTTGAGTATGCAACACCTTTACAAAACTGCAAAATTGTCAAGAAAACTAGAATACAAATGTATTCAACTTTCATATATGAAAAATATTAAATATGGTTGAGGATAGCATAGTTTTAATGAGGATGCTCTGAGGGGGGTGTGTGTGTGTGTGAAAAACATTTGTTACTCTTTGTTTCTAAACTCGTTTTGAATGTGTATATTTTTTTTTTCTACAGAATTTTATCAAATCAATAGATTCGGGAGAAACTAACTTAGATGGAGCAATAGGTAAGTTCATCTATGGCATTCCCATATCTTTATATGAATGTATTCTTACCAGTGGTGCTGGAACAATGTGTATAGTGGGGGGTGCTGAGAGCCATTGAACCAAATGTAAACCCTGTATATGATGGAAACCACTTCAAGCCACGGGGTGTGGCAGCACCCCCAATACCCCTAGTTCTGGCATCTGATTCTTACTGTAGCATGTTATAAGGAAAAATAATGATTCTTTTATGAACAGGTCAAACTGCATCAGAAGAACTAATTAAGACCACTTTATCAGCATTCGAAGTGGTAACACAGCATCCAGTCTTGTTGACACTCCACTGCTCAACTGTAAGTCCTGGCAGCACATGAAACAATTGCATATGTACTGTCTGAATTCCCACAAATAAACGGAATGTTTCAAGTAGTCAGTAGTTATTAGGGTCATGACTTAAAATATGTATGATCAGAAAATAGAAAAAAGTTTTAATTATTTTTTGATTGAAAAAGATTTGTTCATTTATAGAAAGATCTAAATTTAAAAGGTGAACAGAAATGTTCAGGTTCAATTTATTATGTCCAATCAGTTGAAAAGGTGCAAAAAGAGTCAGATATTTTGTCCAGAATTAGCTCTGGAAATCTATCTGTTTTTTAAATGATTTTGTGTGCGAAAAGAACTGGATTGACCACTTTAGCCACAGAACAAGAACAGCACTGAACATCTGTGGAAGTTTCCCTACTTCGTTCTGCCAGTATGCCTTAACTACGACCTGAAGAGATCCACCTCTAAGAGTAAAAGGGTATTTCTGCCTTCGAGCCCATTCAATCCTTGTTCTTTCTGATGAGACTGCTACCAAGAGTACCAATTAATGCTGGTTATGGTATTGATTTTTATTATTATATGGACACTTGTTTACTGGAAATTGGACTGAACTCAACAGCCATCAAATTGAAACAGCCTTTGGTCATTAACAAACTGAGCTGGACTGATATGAACAAGTGGCCTAGAGAAGAAAAACTCTCTGTTCTCCAATCCCCGTTTGGTGTGTGTGTTTTTCAGCTGACTGTTAAGTTGTGAAGTTGTAAGAACTAAAAATACTAAAACTAACACATACAAAAAAGATGAGCTGGAATTAAAATGTCTGTTGTTATTGTTGGTTTTGAATAGTGTACAGTAAGCAACCCACAATATACTAGGTGTTTGCCAAACAGTCAAGAAAGTCTGGTCCTCCCTACTAGGAGCTCAGAATCAGATAGATAAGTAGATAGAGGTTAAGGGAAGTGGAACAGGGATATAAAATTTATTTTTAAGTCAGCTCAATTCACTGCAAGCAGAATTGCAGAAGCAGTTCTTGAAGCGGAAGTTAAGTAGAGATCTGGAGTAAATTCAATTGAATGTTATCTCAGACGCTTAACAGCATGTAAATTCATTGTTAGACACCATTCCAAGAACAACTGCTGTTTCTTAAGATAATGGTTCTGTGGTTTTTAGTGTGTCTTTAGTGTGACCTCCATAAAAGTGATGCATGTTTCTTTCAAAAATATTAACTGAAATTTCAGTACCTTCTATCAGTGCATTATATTAATTATAAGGTCTGTTTTTTCTGAAATAAATTGCAGCAAGAAGGCAGGTGCCTTTTTAATATACATACTCGCAACATATTGTGACAAAAAGTGAGGAGTGACTATCCCACTTTACTTCAAAATTATCACTAAGTTGTACTTTCACTGTGCTGTAGCAATGTCCACCAAATTGCAAGCTGGTTTGCTGTAGATTCACGCCCTGGTTTGCTGTGCAGTAACTTGACATGTAGACAAACTCTTCATTTGTTTCTGTGTAGATCAAAAATGCTGCAAGAATCCATTTTAGTCCCAGCCTAAGAAAGGGCAAAGTCATGTGGGTTTTTATTTTTTTTTTAATTTAACCAAACTTTTTTCACTTTAAAAAATATTCAATTTTTATTCAGGTATTTTTGCAAAGTTTTGTGGTAGTGTTTACTTTATCCAAACAATCACTGTCAATAACCAGAACTAATTTTCGTGTCCACCCAAATGCTTGTTAAAGTTTATGAAGTATGGCACTTTTGTATACAGACAGAATCCTTTTCCAGTTTTCAAATGGATGTCTTTTTAAAAAAATATTTATTAACTGAAAATAACTACTTCCAATGCTTATGAACAATTAGTTTTGAGAAAATAATCTGTCACTTGCCTGCTTCATTTCCATCAATAAGTTTTCTCTTTCTCCAGACCAATACTAGTGTCCAACAAATGGCCATTCAAACCCCATATATAAGTGGGGAAAGTGCCCTGAATTTAGTATGCTAGGTTGAAGAGATCTGTTTTAGTCCATCATAACTGATTGTCTGTAACCATGTCTGCTGCTAATATGTGAACTGTAATTAGTTTACCACTTGCGGGGTCTAGTGTGCTAATTATTTTGGAAAGTATAGCTTACCATTACTGTAGAGGAAAGTGCTACCTCATCTTACATGATGCATACAAAATATTTTTAGATATATTGTTACTCAAGGGATACCTTTTAATTGCTGCAGGTTGGACATGACTGGAATCTATGAATATAAATACCAGCACCCAAAGGAACTTAATGCTTTTTTGAAAAGTTGAAGCAAGACATGCTCACAGTTCCAGATCAATACTTTAAATATAAAAGTGGTTAATAGGATATCCTTTTACTTGCCAGAAATGTGTATCTTCGATAGGTCCCAGAGGTTAGGATAGTTCCTTTAGACAAAGTTGCCTACCATCAGTGTGTCATGAATAAAAAAATAAGCTAAAGCCTTCTTGAGTGGTGCATAACATTTGCTCCATAACAGCAACATTAAAATTGTTTTAGTTTCTAATAGCAAATGAAGAAAACATAATGTTTATCTTCATTTTAAAAAAGGTTAATAAAGTTTAAAAATAATGATGTTATGAATGCTTTGGACTGACTGGCAATAGTAGGTTGACTTTCAAGCACCATATTCAGTTGCTGTGGACATGGTGACAATACAATATGATCAAATTCAAGTTGTTCATTGAAAAGATTTATTTCTAAAAGTGAAGGAACATGTATAGTTAGTAGGGTTAGAATAAATGGGGAATTACTTGGAATTAATCAAATGAAGGCCAGTACAGAACAATTTCTATGTGGAGTGATCGGTTTGTCATTATTCTGTCTCTGTAAATAGAGCTTTTTATTTTAAGACGGTTTGTGATGCTTAGGCAGTTTGAATGTTGTTAACAATAGGGTATGTCTCCACTTCCAACTGAGGGTGGGATTGCCAAATTGAGGAGACATTGAGCTAGCATGCTAAAAATAGAATGCAGCCAGAGCAGCACAAACTGCAGGAGGAGTTAGCTGCCCTGAGTTTGTACCTGTCCAACCCCCGGGCACATACTCAGGACAGCCAGCCCGCTCGCACTGCTGCAGCTACATTCTGTTTTTAGTGTAGAAGCTCAGTGAAAGCTAGCATGAGTATGTCTCCTCAAGCTGGGAATCCCGGTTTGAAGTGTAGACGTACGCATAATGTTGCTAATCAACAGAGTCTTAAGTCGACTAATATTTTTTGAGCACTTATTTTTTTAGGTGTATTCTGTACCTTTGTATACAGAGTATATCAAAAAAGAACATTCCTTTTAAACAAAAAGAAAAATCTTCTTTCTTACCTATTGGCCTAGTACTTCTTATATGGGACTAATCTACACAGGGGAATAGATACTCCCTGAAATTGCTTAATTTCTATTTGATTCTTGCATATCAGGGAGTTATTTCCCTATATGTCCATAGAATAGGCCAGGGATCCTGCCTCTCCCTAAACCTCACAATGAGCCACCAGAGACCCTGCTATCAAGCTACCACTGACCCTCTGGCTTCTGCAGGGGTCACTCTGTCAGAAGCAATCCTGACCTCAGCTGCCCAAGTACCTGTCCATCCCTTGACTCTTTCAGAGGCTTGCACAGCATAGGAAGAAAGCAGTATATCTTACTACATGTTCTGTCTACAAGTTTTGTAAAGGAGGAAGGGGGGATAATGCATCAGTTTTTGTTCCCTGCAAAGCTTTGGAACTGGAACCCCAAGAAGCCCCCGCATAGGGGGAAAGGGAGCATGCCATTGTGGCAGCACACCTCCATTTCTGCACCCTTCCCCACTACATGTGCATAGACTCCCTTTCCTCATACGTATGTGGAAAAGAGTAGATGAGCTCTTAGGAAGCAAAGTTGTCTGTCCCCTTCATGTTCCACAATATTAACAGTGGGCTTTCCCCTCTCTACTATATGATGGAAGACTGACTAACCTTTTCTCCTGCCTGAGGTGTAGGAATCCAGTCTTGTCTATTGCATATAAGTTCTTATAATGTCTTCATCATTGTAGTATCTGGGCACCAGTAGCATATTACAAGGTGTGTTTATCTGTCATATATGATTTGTTCTTCCTCTCATTCTCGCCCTATCGGGGATTTGTGCATGCAGCGTAGTGTTTTCTTTTGGTCGGTATTTTTTGTTGGTGATGGTGGGAAGATGGTGAGGTTTGTGATAGTGCGTAATTCCTGGGGGAGTTCACTCCACGCTCTTGAACTGGCCCCCAAGAAAGCTCTGTCTCTGGCACAGATGAACTTTACACTTATGGTTGAAAGTTCTGTTGTGACTGAGGGGGAAAGTTGTCAACCGTGAGCTTCATCCTAGATCCTTAGGCTTTTTTTTTTTAGATATGCTGCGCCCAGGCAATAGAGCACCCTGAAGATAAGGACCAAGACATTGAATTTGAATATTCTATGGGAAGCCAGGGTACAGAGTAGAAGAGACAGGTTTGGTACGCTCACGGTAGCCTGTGTTGCTGAGGAGACACATAACATTCTATAGTAGATGGAGTTTCCTAATGGCTGATGTGTATTGCATGGGTGTAGTCCAGACAGGAGGTGGTGAAAACATGTATAAAACTGAGACCAGGTCATTGTCTGCCATAATATGATGGTGTTTCCTAGCCAGCCAGAGATGATAGCAGCATCTGTGAGTAATGCTTTCTATGTGAGAAGTAGCATCAGCAAGGAATCCAGGAGCATTCCTAAACTAGGATCTGAATTGACCAAATGAGATATATTCTTTCACCTAAAAGCAGCTGTGTTAAGTGGCGGAAGAAGTGATCCCATACATTCTTACCCATCTCACAGGTCTGTTTTGAGACTTGCTTAGTTAGCATTTGTAAAGCAATTTAAAGTCCTCCATTGAAAGGAGCTATTCGAGTGCTAAGTCATTTATTACTTATTCTATTATATATGTATTATAAGGGCTATGAAAGATTTCATAATGATGAAGTATTGAAAAATGCACCTTATACATTAAGAAGACTTTATTGAGTACTTTATGAAATTAAATGATTCTTCTCCAAACAAAAAATTGTTAACCATTGTAATGTGCCATTTTTGTAACATTCAAATAAATTCAGTGGAACTAAACTGATTTATACTAACTAAGAAGCTAGCCACAAATATATATATTTTAAAACATCATATCTTACATTCTGTTCAGAGCAATCAAGAAGCCCATCTTGTGGTAGCATGGTCAAATCATTTGTTTCCACTAGATTTTTTTTGTGGTGGTGTTATCCTGAAAGTTCTTCATTATTTGATTTGTGTAGTTTACGGAAATGATGATTAACTAGTAATATTAACTTCTCAGTTTTAGGATCTGTGACCTGCCCTGGATTCTCAAAATCAGTTTACTGTATTGTATTGCTTCTGATGATTTTCATCTCTGCTCCTGTTGAGTTTTCTATTCTCAATAACTTTTTTTTTTTGTGCTTGTTAGAAGGCTGAATTTGCATAAAATTGAGGTTGAAAATAAGCTATCATTCCACTAAAGAAGGGACTTGATATATCAGACTGGAATATATTGCTCAGTGACTCTAGGGAATATAGAAACATTTTATTGGAGTATATTTTTTTCAAAATTCAAGACTTCAGTCTCTAAATCTGAATCTTAATGGGAACCTATGGATGACTGTACTGGAAAGAACCAATGGTTTATCTAGTTGAAATATCCTCTCTCTGAAATTGATGATGAATGCGTCAGTGTGGAGGGTGTGAAACTTCCACAATGTACCTTAACTATCATTGGAGGAAATTTCTTCCTAATCCCATCTGATTAGTTTATGGACTGGAGGATGGGGATTAATACACTTAGATATTAAAGAAGCTAAAATAAAATTACCAACATCAGCACCAAATTCTGCTTTTTAAACTAAAAAGAATTCTCAGTAAATTTTGCCAACATTGATACTGCTGTTTTTGGTATATAGATGTTGTCATCTATGACTTTATAGTGATTTACTAGAGCAAAGTGAACTTGGTGGCCTAATAAGTGTGATTATGGATGGATTTCCATGATTGTTCATCCCTTTGATTAAAGAGTCTAGCAATGGAATAAACAGATTATGTATATATATCTGAGTTCTATTTTTTCTTTCTGAATGATCTAAACCAGATCTTTTTAATGCTCTCTTTTAGGTTGTGGACTATATCCTCCCACCCTTAGTTTCTTTGGTCCGTAGTCAGAATGGTAAGTACATGGCCACATCAACTAAAATTTCCATGAATTCCACATTTTGTTTTAATTAGACTTCAGTGTGGTCACCTTCTTGGCACATTTATTTTCAAGTGGAATGGAGACTCTTCAGCTTGCGGTTGCTTTCAGAAACCACATCACTGCTTGTGAGCCACGAGGTCATGGCTGAGGAGAAAGAGGAGAGCCTTGACTCAAACAACAAGCTTCTGTGTCTCATTAGAGATTCATTGCTGCCTCAGTAAGTACAGTACTGCTGCGCTAATGGGGAATAATTTGATATACAATCCATTTTGACTGTAAATTTTGTTTTAAATACCTTTTTGATTTAAACAAAACTAAAATAGTAGTAAATAATGATAAATTGGTGTCAGATTTTTCTGCCAGATGTGTGCCTACAAAATCCATTCAGTACTTGTGATGGGATCCCCGGGGTACAACCAGAAATGTGGGACTGCTGTATCCCTTAAACTCTCCAGCCTGGGCTGTCTCTTTCAGTGCAATGCCAGTGACGAACAGCAAACCCTTCCAGGGGCTGTGATCACTCAGCCATCAGCATGTGGAGATTCACACCCAGCTAAATTGTAGGAATGCTCTCTCAGCCACTCATGAATCATAATGAGAGAAGCACCAGCTAATCACCCCAGCCTTGCCCCCAGGGCCGGCTCCAGCATTTCTGCCATCCCAAGCAAAAAAAAAAAAAGCAGCGATCGGCGGCGGCAGTTCAGCGGCAGGTCCTTCGCTCCTAGAGGGAGTGAGGGACCTGCCGCCCCCGAATTGCCACAGGTGCCGCCCCTCTCCCTTGACCGCCCCAAGCACCTGCTTGTTAAGCTGGTGCCTGGAGCCAGCCCTGCTTGTCCCCCAGACGTATACCATCTCATACTGCTCAAGACTCCCTTGGGGTACATCTACACTACACGATTAATCCGAATTTAGCTAATTCGAATTTGGTAAACCGGTTGTATTAATTCGATTGTATGCGGCCACACTAAGCAAATTAATTCGGTGGTGTGCGTCCATGTACTGGGGCTAGCGTCGATTTCTGGAGCGTTGCACTGTGGGTAGCTATCCCATAGCTATCCCATAGTTCCCGGAGTCTCCCCTGCCCATTGGAATTCTGGGTTGAGATCCCAGTGCCTGATGGGACCAAAACATTGTCGCAGGTGGTTCTGGGTACAGCCTCACCCCTCCCTCCCTCCCCCCCTCCCTGCATGAAAGCAACGGACGGCAGACAACCATTTCGCGCCTTTTTTCCTGGCTGAACGCAGCAGACTCCATACCACGGCAAGCATGGAGCCCGCTCAGCTCAAGACAGCAGTCATGAACATTGTAAATACCTCGCGCCTTATCGTGCAGTTTATGCTGAACAAGAACCTGGAAAACCAGGCGGAGAGGGGCAGGCAACAGCAGCGCGGTGACGACAGTGATGAGGATATAGACATGGAATTCTATCGAACCGCGGGACCCGGTGCTTTGGAGATCATGCTGTTAATGGGGCAGGTTATAGGCATGGAACGCCGATTCTGGGCCCGGGAAACAAGCACAGACTGGTGGGACCGCATAGTGTTGCAGGTGTGGGACGATTCCCAGTGGCTGCGGAACTTTCGCATGCGTAAGGGCACTTTCATGGAACTTTGTGACTTGCTTTCCCCTGCCCTGAAGCGCCAGAATACCAGGATGAGAGCAGCCCTCACAGTTGAGAAGCGAGTGGCAATAGCCCTGTGGAAGCTTGCAACGCCAGACAGCTACCGGTCAGTGGGGAATCAATTTGGAGTGGGCAAATCTACTGTGGGGGCTGCTGTGATACAAGTAGCCAAAGCAATCACTGAGGTGCTGCTACACAAGCTAGTGACTCTGGGGGATGTGCAGGTCATAGTGGATGGCTTTGCTGCAATGGGATTCCCTAACTGTGGTGGGGCGATAGATGGAACCCACATCCCTATCTTGGCACCGGAGCACCAGGGTACCCAGTACGTAAACCGCAAGGGGTACTTTTCAATGGTGCTGCAAGCACTGGTGGATCACAAGGGACGTTTTACCGACATCAACGTGGGGTGGCCGGGAAGGGTTCATGATGCACGCGTCTTCAGGAACACTAATCTGTTTAAACGGCTGCAGCAAGGGACTTACTTCCCGGACCAGAAAATAACCGTTGGGGATGTTGAAATGCCTATTGTTATCCTTGGGGACCCAGCCTACCCCTTAATGCCATGGCTCATGAAGCCATACACAGGCAGCCTGGACAGGAGTCAGGAGCTGTTTAACTACAGGCTGAGCAAGTGCAGAATGGTGGTAGAATGTGCATTTGGCCGTTTAAAAGCGCGCTGGAGATCGCTACTAACTCGCTCTGACCTCAGCCAAAGAAATCTCCCCATTGTTATTTCTGCTTGCTGTGTGCTCCACAATCTCTGTGAAAGTAAGGGGGAGACCTTTATGGCCAGGTGGGAGGCTGAGGCAAATCGCCTGGCTGCTGATTACGCGCAGCCAGACACCAGGGCGATTAGAAGAACACACCAGGAAGCAGTGTGCATCAGAGAAGCTCTGAAAACCAGTTTCATGACTGGCCAGGCTACAGTGTGAAATTTCTGTTTGTTTCTCCCTTCATGAAAACCAGCCCCCTTCATTCTCATTCATTCTCTGTAAGCAACCCACCCTCCCCCCAGCTTTCTTTCAAAGGTAATAAAGTCACTATCGTTTAAAAATCATGTATTCTTTATTAAGTGATTATAAACATAGGGAGAGAACCAAGAAGGTAATGTGGGTGAGGTTTGGGAGGAGGATAAGAGGGAAGTCTAAGGCCACTGATCAAATTCAATATAATGACAGCCTTTTGGTTGGGCTCTCCCCTGGGGTGGAGTGAGAGGGTGCACGGAGCCTCCCCCCCCGCGTTCTTACACGTCTGGGTGAGGAGGATATGGAACATGGTGAGGGGGGAGGTAGGTTATACAGCGGCTGCAGCGGCAGTCTGTCATCCTGCTGCCGTTCCTGAAACTCCACCAGACGCCGGAGCATGTCCGTTTGCTCACGCAGCAGCCCCAGCATTGCAGCCTGCCACCTCTCATCTCGAGCATCCCTCAAGACCTCACGGTCACTGGCATCTTTCCTAAATTTAGATACAGTGTCCTTCCACTCATTCAAATGAGCTCTTTGATTGTGGGTGGATTTCATTATTTCTTTGAACATGTCGTCTCGCGTCATCTTTCTACGACGCCTTATCTGAGAGAGCCTTCTGGACGCAGGAGGGAGGCTTGAAACATTTGCAGCTGCTAGAGGGAGGGTTGAAAAAAAGTAGAGAAGTTTTTAAAATGATACATTTTACAGAACAATGCCTGTACTCTTTCATGGTGAACACTATTCACATTACATAGCACATGTGATTTCAGTACAAGGTCGCATTTTCCATCTTAATATTGAGTGCCTGTGGCTTTGGTGTTAGAGATCACAGACGCAGGTCCGGGCAACAGAATTCAGCTTGCAGGCAGCCATGGTAAGCCATTGTCTTTTGGCTTCTGCGCCATCCTTTCCAACATACCAATCAAAGCCTGTTGACTGCTGAGGTTTTCCTGTTAACCTTCAGCAGCAGAAAACAAACTAACTCCCCCCGCCCCCCCTCCCGCCATGAATTCCCTGGAATGCTCAATGTACCCCTCCCCGACCGCGTGGCTGGTAACAGGGAAAATCCCTGCTGAAACTAAACTAACCCATCCGCCCCCCCCCCCCCCCCCCCCCCCCCCCCCCCCCGCCCCCGGCACCCCCCCCCCCCCCCAACCCGAAAAACCCCGGGCCCAACCCCCCCCCCCCCCCCTCCCGCCCCTGCGCTTGGCTAACTGCAGGGAAGGATTTCTTATCAGCCACAGGCAAACAGCCCAGTAGGAACGGCCACCTCTGTCCCCTTAATTAAGTTCCCGTATTTCAAGCAGGTTACCATGAGCGATATCACTCTCCTGAGGATTACACAGCGAGATAAAGAACGGATGTTGCTTGAATGCCAGCAAACACCGGGACCATACGCTGCCAGGCTTTGTCAGGCAATGATACCAGATTACTTGCTGCAAGCATGGCGCGGTCAAGTGTCCTACCGTGGAGGACGGAATAAGGCTGCACTGCCCAGAAACCTTGTGGCAAGGCTTTTGGAGTACCTCCAGGAGAGCTTCATGGAGATGTCCCTGGAGGATTTCCGCTCCATCCCCAGACACGTTAACAGACTTTTCCAGTAGCTGTACTGGCTGCGAATGCATCCCAAGTCCTCAGGGCAAAATAATCATTAAAATACCTTGCTTTTAAACCATGTTTTATATTTTAAAAGGTAAACTCACCTGAGGTCCCTTCCATGGGGTCATGGTCTTGGCTACTGGCTTGGGAGGCTTGGGAGGGTACTTCAGTCAGGCTGAGAAAAAGCTCCTGGCTGTTGGGGAGAACGGAGTGCTGGGTGCTCTCTGCAAGATCCTGATCCTCCTCCTCCTCCTCTTCCCCACCCTCAGAATCCTCAGGTGTAGAGACTATCCCAGACCCGGTTTGCATGATCACAGGTGGGGTAGTGGTGGCGGCCCCCCCTAGAATTGCATTCAGCTCTGCGTAGAAGCGGCATGTCCGCGGCTCTGACCCGGAGCGACCGTTTGCCTCCTTTGTTTTTTGATAGGCTTGTCTGAGCTCCTTCACTTTCACGCGGCACTGATCTGAGTCCCTATTGTGGCCTCTCTCCATCATGCCCTTGGAGATTTTTTCAAAAGTTTTAGCATTTCGTCTCTTTGAACGAAGTTCTGCTAGCACTGAATCCTCACCCCATACAGCGATCAGATCCAGTACCTCCCGTGTGGTCCATGCTGGTGCTCTTTTTCGATTATCAGCCTGCATGGTTACCTGTGCTGATGAGCTGAGGTATCTGTGGTATCTGTGGTCACCTGTGCTCTCCACGCTGAGCAAACAGGAAACAGGAAATGAAATTCAAATTTTCCTGGGTCTTTTCCTGTTTACCTGGCCAGTGCATGCGAGTTCAGATTGCTGTCCAGAGCGGTCAGTGGTGCACTGTGGGATAGCTCCCGGAGGCCAATACCATCGATTTGTGGCCACACTAAGCCTAATTCGGATTAACAAAATCGATTTTGACGTTACTCCGTTCGTCGAGGTGGAGTACAGAAATCGATTTAAAGGGCCCTTTAATTCGAATTAACTGGCTCTGTAGTGTGGACGGGTGAAGGGTTAATTCGGATTAACGCTGCTAAATCCGAATTAATCCCGTAG